ACTTGGTGCTGAGGATCTAACCCAGTTCCTCACATGTGCTAGGCATGTGTGCTACCACTGAGCCACAACCTCAGCCCCTCCTCTATACTTTAAATTATATCTAGACTATAATATTTAATATAACATAAATGCTATGTAAATAGTTGTCTTACTCCATTGTTGAAGGAATAATGGCAAGAAAAGATCTGTATATGCTCAGTACTAAGTTCTAGAAAAAACAATTACCATCTTCATTTGGTTGAAACCAAAGATGCAGAACCCAAGGATGCAGAGGACCAACTGTGTATGCATGTATTTATTATATATTSCTATCAGAGTAACACAAGGYTTATGCATAGGTAATACATTGATCTAGCATATTGGGAAATGTAAACATGTTTAAAAGAAGGTTGTAAATATGGGTTACCCAAACCCAGACCATTTAAAAAATTATTAACGATAATTTTGCCTTTTCTTCTAGTGAGTTTTATTGATCATCTAAAGAACCCCATGCATTGATTTTTTTTTTTATTGGTCGTTCATAACATTACATAGTTCTTAATACATCATATTACATTGATTTTGAGGAGCTTGAAATACATTTGTGTAATTGAGAAATGCCTTTAGCACATTGCATAGAGAGGTGTTTTTCCACTTAATGCTTCTTTTAGCATATAATAGTAGGAGGAAGAAAAAAAGATCTGTCATTGAGCAAGTCTCCTGGGGATGAACTAGACAATGTTATGTGAAGGAGACACTTACGTATGGGTAAGAAAGCCTCCTAATTGCCTGTGAGTAATCTTATGAGAATCAAAAGAAGGAGCTGACAGTAAAGCCATGAAAAGATGAGAAAGAAAAGCACTAGTCAAGATTAGTCAGCCACCTGTCTTCATCCTTTGACAACCATGTTTAGGAGGTTCTTTTTTCCTGAATTTGGTTACCATAGTAACAGACCTTTAAAATGCCCTCAAATCAATTTACAGAATTACTGCCCATATTGAGTACAGCAACACAAAGAGATTGTTAAGTTGTTAAAATCTATTTTTAAATTATTATGTAATTTAAATGATCCATCAAGCTTTTGGATATATAATTTAGACAATCATGAATTGCATTTTAGCAAAAGGAATTTTAAATTCCTATCCATTATTATTAGATGATGGGTTTAGAAGTTCAATTATTAAAATATGTCATTTCAATGAATGACTTCTAATTAATTTTAAATAAGATAGAATTCACAAATGTTCTGAGCCTAGTTTTAAAAACACATTTATTATTATGCTTTACACTCATTGGTGAACTTTTAGGAGTCATTCATGGCTTTAGCTAATTGCACAGATAATTTAAAAGGAATTGCTGTGACTTGGTCTTGTGATCCTCAAAGAGCATATATGATTTCTTTCTTGGCATTGCTAGGTATTGAACCCAGAGCAACATTCATGCTAGGCAAGTACTACATCCTCTATCCTGATTTAAAACAAAACAAAACAAAAAAACAGTGTTTACACATGTGGAAAAAAATCTGCCTCATGCTATATACAGTTGTAAAATAAGGCTTGTTTTTAAAAATTAAAAAAAATTATAGTGACTGTTGATTTTTATTTTTAATGATTTTAATTTAAACTTTTTTTGGTACTGGAGATTGAACCCAGGGGCACTTTACCACTGAGTTGCATCCCCAATCCTTCTTATTTTTTATTTTGAGACAGCATCTARCTAAGTTGCCAAGGCTGGCCTTGACCTTGCAATCTGCCTCAGCCTCCCAAGTTGCTAGGGAATTACAGATATGTGCCAGTTACGGTGTTTGGCTGCCATTTTTAGCAAACGAAAGTTTATCAAGAATTGTACAAATTGAACCTCTTTTACAGGAAATTTTAATATCACTTCTCACTTAACATAATATGGCAGTTACCATTAGTTATTTTCAAGTACTTTGGAGAACTAAACAAAGTCTGTCTAAATTGGCTCAGGAATTTAGGGTTCAGTTAAAGGAAAACTTCTCTCATGCTTTGAGTGATTGATTAAACAATGCTTAATCAATATTCAGAGAATTATGAAATTTCTCTAACTCTAGAAAAAGAATATTTTGTTTTGAGCACTCTTTTATTTCCCATAAACCACCAAACAACTGGTATTATTTTATTTGAATTACCCGACTCYGAGAATTGGGAGTAATGTAGATATACAGAAATATTTTCGTTTTGAAGTTCCTTATTTTTCCTTACTTTCATTTTCATTGATTTTTCTACCAGTTAATCCTAAACCTAGCCTTGGGTTGTTACTATTCATATTATATCCCTTGTACTGATTTGAGTGCTTAAATGTGCAAAGGATTTGACTTTTGAAATATGTAGAGTGATTCATTCCTTAAAGCTGAAATCCATAGTTCCCTTTTGAATTTCAAATAGTACCACCATATTAAAATAAAAACTTGGGGGCTGGGGTTGTGGCTCAGCGGTAGAGTGCTCGCCTTGCACATGCAATCCCCAGCACCACATAAAAATATATGAATAAAATAAAGGTATTATGTCCAGCTACAACTAAAAAATAAATATTAAAAAAAATAAAATAAAAATTAAAAGTGGAATAATAATTTTATTGTTAAATTAATCTTTTGAATAATATATTTATTTTTGCCCTGAAACCAAGAAAGTGTTCAATTTTAAGCATTATTAGAATATATCCAAAATAGGCAAATCCATTGAAGAAAGTGGTTTCTTAACATGAAGGGATTCTGTGAAATTGGGAATAGCTGCTAATGCAGATGGGGATTTCATTTTGAGGTGATGAAAGTGTGTTATAATTAATTGTTCTGATACCTTAAAATGTATTAAACCATAAGCATCTTTGTACTACATATTAACTTTACAAAAATAAAATAAATCCACTCCCCCAWAAACAAATATTAGAAAACCATTGAACATGCCCAGCTCAGAGAAAATTGGTGGGTGGCAGAGTTAATAGTCTTGAAGATGTTAGTGCTATAGTAATAAAGTATTAGCAAAAAAGATCCAAGGAGCAGAGTTGATTTGCAGCTCAGTCTTAATATAAGAATCAATTAACTTGAGTAGGCTGCTTAATTTTATTTAAAGATTATGACACAGAACAGAAAACCTTGGCTACTACTGGATGTGGCAAGGGGAAAAAAAAAAAAAGAGTACATGACATCCTGTGAGAGACTACATACCTTACAAAATGTAACCAAAAAAAGAAAAAACTTAAGTAAATATTCTGAAGGAATTATTGAGATGAAGTCAGCAGGAGAGAAAATTACTCTCTGGAGAAAATCGGCAATTTCAATTTTGCGAATTTTATTGCAAGATCTTTTTAAAGTTCTTCTCTGTTTTCCTGTCAGTAAAATTGTGCCTCTTATTTAAAGGCAAATCTCCCTGTGTTTGTACTACTGTTTCTCTTGGTTACTCTACATAAATTTGGTTACTGATTTAATTAAATTTAGCTACTAAAGAACCACTTTAAAATCARAAATGTCTTAAACAGAATGTCTTCTGAAGAAAAATAGCTAGCAACAATTCTAAGAGATAACAATCATAATGGGAAAGAACCACCAGTTGTGGTTAGACATTATAATGTCCCAATCTCCTAACCAAAGATAAAATATAGGTTGAGTTAAATAACATAACATGCACTCTGGCAGAGTAAGTACAATAAATAAATGAGAAATGCTGTCTAAGAAATGGAACTAAGCCCCAAAGGGTCTCCTGACTCTTACTTCATTCTTTATAATAATGAAAACTATCCCTCAATACCTCAATTTATGTGTGCATGCACCTATTTTTACTGCAACTGTTTACTAGAGAAAAAAAAATTATCTTTATACTACTGCAGGGTGGAATTTTCAATTAATGAAATGACTTGTTAATTCCCAGAAATCTCCAAGTGGGATATAATATAGCTGCTACTAGAGACCAAGGGGACCTCATTCACTTTATTAAGGACTTTTAGAGAAAACCCTCAGCAAATAGCTCATGTTACTTGTTTTAGATTATATAAAACAAAATTGGTGTTGGTCCAGTCTGCAGGCACTTAGATTGGCTTTATAGATGACAGGCTGACTCACACTCATGAGCGTCATCTTTTTTATTCCGGAGGCTTATTAGCAGTTCATTGGCAAGGGAGAGACTACATACCTTACAAAATGTAACCAAAAAAAGACACACACACACACACACACACACACAAACTGGTCATCAAACGAATCCAGGTGCCAGAATCTTCCAACAGTTTTTATTCCTTCTTTTAGCAATAATCAATAATCTAAAGATACCAAATGAGCCATTTAATTTCTTCAGTAAAACTCACGCTAAGGCAAGGGTATGGGTATTGTTGGTTTTACACGAAGAACTACCTGTACTAAGAATTCTACTTATGAGTGAAACAGAAAGGTGAGCTAAGTACAGAATAATAGACTCCAAAGGGACACAGGAATTTTAACTGCATGTTAAAGACAAGTAAGTTTTCAGAGAGGGGGAATTATATACTAGAGAAAGTATTTCAATTACTATCTTTGGTACAAAACTATATATACATAGTATATGCACAGTATATGCTATAGGTTGAATATGCTTTATCCAAAATGCTTGAGACTAGAAGTATTTCAGGACCTTAGTTTTTCTGGGATTRAACAGTGATTCTGTAGATTTTATTGGTTAAGCAACCATAATCTAAAAATCCCAAATCCAAATGCTCCAAAATCCTAAACTCTTTGAGCATYTTGTTTCTCTCTTTTTCTCTTTCTCACTACCCCACTCCCTTTCAGAAGAATAGCTTATATTCTCTTAACTCTAACTGAACAGAGGGCAAGATTACAAATAATTTTGAAAAACATTGAAGAATAATTGGGGGGAATATCCAGTGTTCTTCTCTCTCTCCTAGTAGGGAAAATGTCCATAAAAACAAACTTACTGACCTTTTCACTGCATAWTTTTTTTTTTTACTCTGGGCCTAGAGGCTCAAGAGGCTGAGGCAGGGGGATCATGAGTTCAAAGCCAGCATCAGCAAAAGTGAGGTGCTAAGTAACTCAGTGAGACCCTGTCTCTAAATAAAATACAAAAAGGAGTGGGKATGTGGCTCAGTGGTTGAGTACCTCCCACCCCCAATTTTCTTACTCTGGGAAAACAGCATCTCCATAYAATTTATCTTTTTGAATGTATGTTCATTTTTAGGTACAACTCATTGCACAATGCTTTTTGAATGAATGTTCATAGAAGAGAAAAATAAAGAAAACTATATATTCAAGGGCAGGAAACCACTAAAGTTATCTCTCAAATGGTTTTTGGATCATCTGCATCAGTATCAACTAGCAAGTGTGTTAGAGGCAAATTCATAGGCCAGGGTCCAAGAATTAATCAGAATCTCTGGGGAGAGGGTTCAGCAATCTGCATTTTTCACACACCTTATATGATCCTGGTATATCCTAAACTAAAAATCACTGTTACATTACTGCCACCTTAGGAAACAAGGTATACCTTTCCTTGAATTTGAGGACTGAGCTGTGAAACCAATGTTTGCTAATGTCTCTTGCCACAATCACCCTGATGTAAGGAACGGGAGATGGCAGAAGCAAAGATGAAAAAGACAAACTGATTTTATTTGCAGTGCTGGGGATCAAATGACACATGCTAGGCAAGCATTCTACCACTGAGTTATACCCCCAGAGCAGAGACAAAATAATTTCCCTTCAAATAAGACTCTAAATTCTTATGTAAGAATTTGTGGATTATCATGTTCAACAAGAATGGGAACTTATACTCCATATATGTATAATATGTCAAAATACATTCCACTGTCATGTAACATAACTAAAAAGAATAATTTTTTAAAAAAATAATGTAGGGATTTTTGTACTAAAAAAATACAAAAATCCTAAAAATAAGAATACTACGATACTAAGAGACAAGAGTACTATCATACTAATGTTTTCAAATGGCATAAGAACTAATAATCATGTTTGACATTTTAGATTTTGATTCCAATTAAAGTGAACAAGAAACAAAAATAAAACAAAATTAAAAACTTGTGYTCAAGTGCTCTGCATCTCTGAGAAAAAAAGTAGTTCTTTTAAATTTTTTTTCCAGGTAATTATGACAATGCTAATTTGCTTTTTTAATAAAAAGGTGAGAGAAATATTTTCCCCCATAACAAGACATCAAATTCCTTCTCTTCTTGCAATTTCCAAGCACTAAGAAGTCATCCATTCTCAACTCAGAGGGGGAGAACAGCATGCATACATATATGTAAACAGCATTAKGGATGTAAGTAATATCCTGCATCATGAATAAGAAGGAAAATACAAATTCATTTACACTTGAAAAGATCAACATGGCTGATTGCTTCATCTGAACCAGAAATCTTTTTTTTTAGTTTTATGGCTACCCAGCATTTCAATTAATCTTATAAGACATTTTATAGCACTCATTTACTCACTAGGCATGAATCATCATAATGTCCACATATTATAAATACAATAAAATCTCAAACCAAAACAACAACCATCTTCTCCTCTCCCCAAAAAACTCTCCAATGCTAAAAATTCAGTCAACTATCACCCTTAATGCTCAAGGTTTAATGCTAACTTAAAAACAACTTAAACCATGGCTGACAAATATRTACCAAAGCAAAGTAGATAATCAGAACCACACTCATGTCACTGTACCCCTCTCCTCCTACTACCTATCCATCTTCCTTACTTATTAGACAAAACCCCAGAATGACAACTAAGAGGGAATGGGGGTGTAGCCCTTTGATATAGAATGTGCTTAGCATGCATGAGGCCCTGGGTTTAATCCCCAGCACCAAAAAAAAAAAAAAAAAAAAAGAAAAGGAAAGGAAAAAGAGAAGAAAATTAATAAAGCTGCTGAAGAGATTGCTTCTTTAAGAATTTTTCTTGCCTGACTTGGTGGCTTACAACCTGTAATCACAGCAACTTAGGAGGCTAAAACACAAAGATCACAAATTTAAAGCAAGCCTGGGCAATTCAGTGAGACCCTGTCTCAAAACAAAATTACAAAAGAAAACAGCTATGGATATAGCTCAGYGGTAGAGCATTTGCCTAGCAGGCAGAAGGCCCAGTACTGCAAAGGAAAAAAAAAAACCATAAAACAAAACCCAAGAATTTTTACAAACCAATTATTTCCCAAATAAACTTTATTTTGAAAAAAATACTATAACATAGTCATATAAACTTAAATATGACACACAGAACAGTGAGTCAAATTATATACATGTGAAGTCACAGTTCATGTCAGATCATTCCCACTAATAGAAGGATAGAAAAGTATAGCTAAAGCAAAAATGCAGACAACTTAAACACAATCACAATATATGTATAAGTTTTCATTTTGTACTTAAGTACAGATGTTTAGATGAGACTTGATAAAAACTCACACAAGATAAAAAAAATATGCTTCCCAAATAATCAAAATTTATTTTACTTTTCTCACTGTCACTTAGATGGCATCAGTAATATCTATACAGAGTAGCACCACGGGTCAAGCTACTTTCCTTCCTCTGTGATTCAACATGATGCTTTCTGTATCTTGACTTAAGAACCTCTCYAGGTGCAGGAAAATAGAGTAATGACTTAATAATTTTCAAGACAGAAGCGATTTATTCAGAGAAAGGTGTTGTAGTATATAGCCTTCTAAGAATTCCATGTGTTATTGAGAAAAATATCAATATGTAATCAGTGAAAGCAACRTATATATAATTTTTCATAATTCTTTTAAAAAGTGGAAGTAAATAGGAATAAAAGAACGAAGGCAACACAACATCTGGAACCTCTCACTGTCTGGGTATCTGAGGCAATTCAGAGCCAACCCCAAGATTATTCTATGAAGTCAGGGCCATTCCTGAATCATGGGGAAGATTCTAATTCTCCAGAAACAACCAGGGAACCAGTTTCAAAGGATAAGGACCCTAGCTACAATGGATTCAAACAGATTTACCCACTCTTTCATTAGTAGAGGGCAACAGAAAGACACCAAACTTGGGGACTGTAAACTGGTTCTACATGTTAACTGTTGACCTTGGACATAATAATCCATCTCTTGGAATGACGGTTTTCTCATCTCTAAAGTAGAAACTGTAAGATCCAGCTTATTGCATAGACTTCACAGCAATGAGAATAGAAGACAATATAATGCACTTGATGGGAGGGGAGTAAAACTTAGTGGCAGAGTGTTTGCCTCAAGTGTGCATTGCCCTGGGTTCTACACCCAGCACCACACACACAAATGAATAACAATAATGCACTTGATGATTTTGTAAACTATAAAGGATTATTCCTAGTAAATGAAGATCTGGGGACTTCTTTCTTAAATATTAAGGATAAAAGTCAATTTGAGATAATATTATAAAATCATTACTTTTTAAAACCAGGACAGGTGTCTATTCAATAGTAGCTGCTATAGGTCTACCTCACTTTTTGATGAGTCATAAATGGGAAAAATTTGATGGCTTATTAATTTCTCTCATAATACAACATTATTATACAATAATCTACTCGTTGTAAACTGTATTCATTAAAGAACCAGGAGAGTAATCTGCTAGGCTTAAAAAGTAAACATTGGATATAATACAAACTTTTTACCACAACTACAATATTTTGTTATTTCATTATAAATAAAGAAACATATAAATGATTTGTCCACTTATCWTAACAGGCCATTAGTCACGAGGAACCCAACTCTATGAAGCCTAAGTCTTAGGCAGAATATCCCAATGCACATCTGCTCCTCATTCCCAACTCTTACTCACTTCAGCATTGMACACCTCCTTAGTAAAACAGTAGCTGTAAACAAATAAAAGTCCACCCTTTTCATTCTGTCCTCAAGCAGAGACTCAGAGACAGTCAACGACAAACTCTTTCATTATAACCTGTAAAGGGCAAGCTCTGGGCTATTGCAAAAGGTTTTTCAAATATGTCAGTATCTAACTTTGAGAAAATAGAGGGAAGCAAAAATGAAGGGGGCTAATTTCTGCTATAGCCTGGTCTCTTGCTATGCTACATTCCCAGTTGCAATATTTTCAAATTGCAACAAAACAAGTAAAAGAAGGCTTCATATGTGAAAGCAGAAAATGGCCCAGAAGTCTTCTATTCAAAGACAAATTAGTTGTTTTTTCCCCAATAACTTACCCCAAAGAAACGAGTACTTGGAAACCCTGAGGGGTTCTTTAAATCATAGCCAGAAAAATTATATATATATATATATATGTGTGTGTGTGTGTGTGTGTGTGTGTGTGTGTGTGTGTGTATACACACACAAAGAACAGAATGATGTTAAAAAATAAGTCTTTAAGGACAACAGCCTTCTCTTTAAAGATGAATGTTCTATAACATTGGCAGACATATCTCTACAACTCATCATGTGTATATGTAAATTCTCTGGCAGATATAAATCCATCTTTGTCTTCATCTTCTTTATCAAAAATATCCTCCACCAAAACATCATGATGACTCTCATTCACCACTGCACCATGCTTTTCAAACTCTTTCTTTAAATACACTTTAACCTACAAAATAAAAAGTCTCATTAGCAACTTTGATTAAGAAGATGCCACACTGTGTTAATCAATATCATAGACATTGACTGGTAGTTCATTTAAATAATATATAAAGTGCCAATTTCTTTATGCTTTATTGCACTAGTAAGAGAATTATAAGAGTTTTTACCCCTTAAAAACTGTTGTTATACCACCATGGTAGAGACACAAAATATTGCTGAGGCAAAGATAAGCTTAGACATACAAACCTTACATCAAATGGCAGGTTTTTATTATCTCAAACACACACCACGAACATAYAGTACCTACTTTTTTTGTTTGCTTGTGTCAAGACGTAGAATTCACTTTTATTCTTGTAATTTTACACTTGAAAGTTGACATTTAATCTCATAATCCACAGTTAGAAATTAATTTATAAACATTTTTATTTGTTGTTTTTAAATATACCTAACAGTGGAGTGCATTTTGACGTATTATACATACATGGAGTACAACCCATTCCAATTAAGATCCCAGTTTTGTGGTTGTACATAATGTGGAGTTACACTGGTTATGTATTCATACATAAACAAAGGGAAGTTTTGTCTGATTCATTGTACTGTCATTCCTATTCCCTTCCCCTCTCCCTTTCCTTCATTCCCTTTTGTCTAATTCAGTGAGCTYCTATTATTTCTTCCCTACCCTCCCTTGTTGTTGGTTAGTTAGCATCTACATACCAGAGAGAACATTCAGGCATTGGTTTTTTGGACTGGCTTATTTCACCTAGAATGATATTCTCCAGTTCCATCCCTTTACCAGCAAATGCCATAATTTCATTCTTCTTTATAACTAATATTCCATTRTAAATATTTTTAATCCCTTAAACTGTACATTAAGATCCTCTGACCCTAAATTTATCACTCTCCTTTACAYCTGAAGAAAATTATTAATTTATTAAGTTCCACACATAGTCCCATTGACATACATTTAATACTGAAGTCCTATACTCACAGTAAAATTAAGAATCATTAGTATCAAAGAAGCCTGAAACCTAACCGTGTTCCTGGATCAGGGTACCCTTAGTAAATCCATAAATCCAAATTAAGACACAAAATTAAAATAGGGTGTATATATTAAAATATTAAAAATATTTCTAGGCTGGGTGCAGTGGCACATGCCTGTAATCCCAGCAGCTCAGGAGACTGAGGCAGGATCTTGAGATCAAAGCCAGCCTTAGCAAAAGTGAGGTACTAAGCAACTCAGTGAGACCCTTTCTCTAAATAAAATACAAAATAGGGCTGTGGATGTGGCTCAGTGGTCGAGTGCCCCAAAATAATAATAATAATAATAATAATAATAATAATTCTAAGCAGAGTAAAAATTAACATTAAAATCTTATTAATTTGGGGGGTTAGGATGTAGTTTAGAGGTAGCACATTTCGTTAGTGTACACAAGGCCTGGGTTTGATCACCAGCTCCACAAAAACAAAAACAATTATTAAATTTCAGCCTTATAATATTTTATTCAATGAAGCTTTCAAAATACCTCAATTTGTTGGGAAAAATAATACATAGTAATTTTTTTGTCTAGCACTTAAAAATGGTTATGAAATTACAATCACTTTTTAAACATCAAAGTATGCTGTAGATATTTTACTTTTCTGATAGACTTGGCTAATATCTTCTATGGAAAAACACCAAAACTGTTGAATAAAATATACTTTTAACTCAACAGGTACTTGATTAACTTTCCTGAATTTATCAATATCATTACCAAAATCTTCTAGGATTTATTTTTGTTTGTTTACTTTTAGTTCTGGGGAATAAAGCCAGGGTCCCACACATGCTGGGCAAGTGCCCTACCACTGACCTACATTCCCCATTTCTCTTTCAGGAATTTTTAAGATTTGATTCCATAATTGTAGTTCTAGTTTACAAAACTATAATTTTATAGTTCAACTTATGAAAAGGAAAAAATGAGCTCATAATCAACTTCTTATGTATTTTTTTTGTCCCTCAATAATCCAAGGAGATTTTAAACAAATTATGCTACATGTTTCCGGACTTAATAAAAAAAGCTATACTTTCCATTATCCTAAATTAAGAAATATTATAGAAATGAAAAGTTATTCATTCTGAAGTGTTCATGTATGTCTGTTGGTAGGTCTGTCTAGAATCTTTCCAAATTTTTATATCAAGAGTTTTTAATCAACTATATACTAGAATCAAATTATATTTTGCAAAAATAGGGCTAGGAGTGTATCTCAGTGTTAGAGCACTTGCCTAGTATACATGAGGCCCTGGGTTGGATGCCCAGCGCTGCAAAATAAAAGATAAGTAATTAAATTAAACCATTTCCCAATGTTTGATAAAAGTAAAGTAGACTACTCATTTTCATTTGTGTTCCACTGAAGACACTACTGAAATTTGTCCAGTTTTTTTTTTTTTTCTATGCAGTCAACCATGGAATTCTTTAGCATGGTTGGGATGTGTATTTGCCATTCTTATTTGTTTCTGTATTTGTTTGTTTTTTTGTTTGTTKTGGTGCTAGGGAGTGAACCCACAGCCATATGCATGCTAAACATATGCTCTGCCCCTGAGGTCCGCCCTCAGTTCCAGAATTTTTTTTCTTTTTGGTGTGTGATACTGGGGATTGAACCCAAAGCCTTGGAAAATGCCAGACAAGCTTTCTACCACTGAACTACATTCCCAGCCCTTTTTATTTTTTATTTGAGACAGGATCTCACTATGTTACCCAGGCTAGCTTTAAGTTTGAGATATTCCTGTCTCAAATTCAAGATCCTTCTGCCTCAAGCCTCTGAGTAGCTGAGATTACAAGTACATACAATCACATCTAGCTCCCAGAATGTTTTAAGATTGACTATGGCTAGAGTGATGACTTCTGTTTGGACCCTGCTCTCCTTTATTATTTGGATGTAGTTTTGGTACTAAGAATAGCTGTCTAGTTGCCAGTTCTTTTCTCTCATCAAATTCTTCTGCTGCTCATATGGCTTTAAAATAATCCTGATTAGCTAGGTGTAGTAGCACAGGCCTGTAATTCCAGCAACTCTGGAGGCTGAGGCAGGAGGATCATAAGTTCAAGGCTGGCCTGGGAAACTTAGTAAGAACCTGTTTCAAAATAAAAGGGGCTAGGATGAAGCTCCATGGTTGAGAACACCTTGGTTCAATGCCAAGTGCAAAACAAATGAAACAAAAAAAGGAATAATCCATTGGTTCTAAAAAACAGAATGAATTCTATGAAGAGATCTCTTTGGAAAGGCATATGAAAATCTGATTTTTAATACAGAAGTAGCAGCAAAAATCAATCTTGTGTGTAAGACTACTCCAAATTACTTTCAGTGCCCAAAACATACACATGGAAGCCTTTAATAGAGAATCTACACTTSTTAGAGAATATCTGGCACAGAACCTCTTAAAACAAAGCATGGCAGTGGGGATAACTTTTTTTCTCAATTTAAGATGTTTACTTATTGCTTGCATAACGTGTAAAAAATATTTTTAATTTCCAATATTCCTCTGAGAAGACCTTTTTGCATTCCTTCAACAGATGGTGTTGATTCAAAATCCACTGCAAAAATAGGAGCTCTGCTAAAAGGTACCTGCTGAGGAGTGGCCTGTCCAGTAACGCTGCTACTCTACCAGCTTGGCTTGGTGACTGATCCATAGTGCCTGTTGTTAATCTGAATCTAAATAAAGCTGAGCATTTGGAAGACAGATGCTTTTTAATTCATTAAATGAACTAGATCTTCTTTTCTATCAAGAGTCAGAAGTCCAGACATTCCTAAAAGCAGATTAATTGTGGCTCTGGTAAAATACTTGAATAAATGTCTAAGAATTTAAGAAACATGCAATACTGACTAAGCCTTATCCTGAAATTCCAGTCTCAAAAATTAAAGTCCAATCTGATAAGTGCCTAGACCATAAAATTTTTTTTAATTTCATTATGATGTTTAAAATGATAAACAAAATACTGACCCTCATTCCTCACCAGATTCACCATAATTTTCAATAATACAYACTCTGTCTATATAGTTTCAATTCCTTCTTCCCTGATCCCCAACATGCAAACATATGTTGCACATTTAAGTGGTTTAAAGCAGTTTAAAATAAAGAAAAAAAGGATGATGAAATTCTATGGATTAATGTAGATGCTCTCTTTATATATGAATAAAGCAAGTTAAACAATATGTATAATGTGCTACCTTTGTTAGAGGAAAAAGGAAAATAAGAACATGCATTCACATAAAGAAACACTAGAAGGACACACTAGAAATCAATGAAATTGAAGGGAAGAAAAGGACATGGGCAAGGAAAGATTTCTTATTTACTATTTTATATTGGGTTGATTTTTTAAATCTTTTTTAAAATTCTTTTTAGTTGTAGATAAACACAATACCCTTATTTTATTTATTTTATTTTTATGCAGTGCTACAAATGGAACCCAATGCCTCACACATGCTAGGCAAGCACTCTACCACTGAGCTACAGCCACAGCCCACTTGGGTTGACTTTTGAACCATGTGAGTGTGTTGTATATTCAAAATTTTTAATGAAAAGGAATTATAATTTATCTTGGATTAAAAAAAAGAGGATATGGGGGCTGGGGTTGTGGCTCAGTGGTAGCATGCTCGCCTAGCACATGTGAAGCACTGGGTTCGAACTTCAGCACCACATAAAAATAAATAATAAAATAAAGATATTGTGTCCAACTACAACTGAAAAAAGAAAAAAATACATATATATAATGAAATTCCAATATATATATATATATATATATATATATATATATATACATATATGTTCATATATCTATATATACATGTATATATAGTAATATAAAGGGCATATAAATGATAACATTATGAGTGTGATAAATTTAGTGGGTACTGATCATGATCCCAGGGTTCATAAAAATTTGACTTATTTGAGACTAAATCATTTCCTGGCCATTAGAATAAAATTGACCAAAGCATTAAAAAAAGACTTGACATCTGACCAGCCGGGCCAGCATAGAGAGTGTAAGTAGGTAAAAACCCAAACCAAAAATAACATAGAGACAAATATCCACCTCTACTTATTCTTTCACAGCAGCCAGGCTAAGACAGTATGTGCAGTGATGACTGCAAAAGCCGGAGGTACAGAGAGAAGCCCCTTCCTCCTACCAAAATACTGGGACTGGGGGTATCTGAGGAAGGTTCCCTACTGGGGAGAATCCATCTCTTTATTTCAGGTGTGAAGCTGAACAAAACTAGACATACAAGTTGCTTGTCGCTAATCTCAAGGAAATGACTACGAAATGCATTTAACAGCCAGTCTGCAGTTTTAAACAGAAACTGTTCACATGAGATACTTTTCAGAACATCTGTTTCTTATGCAGTAACTACAAATGGGAACTGTGATACCAGTTTTCAAAGACTCAAGGTGAGAATAAGACAGTGAATTCCAAGCACCAGAGAGAAAGAAAAAAAGCAAAAGACTGAATGGTGTTTATTTTTCTTTTTGCAGGAGTGCGAATGGAACATGGGCCCTTCAGCCTCTACCCCAGAGCTACATTCCCAGTTCTTTTTTTTTTTTTTTTTTTTTTTTTTAATTTTTTTTTAATATTTATTTTTTAGTTCTCGGCGGACACAACATCTTTTTGTTGGTATGTGGTGCTGAGGATCGAACCCGGGCCGCACGCACGCCAGGCGAGCGCGCCACCGCTTGAGCCACATCCCCAGCCCCCCCAGTTCTTAATGGTGCTTTTTAAGTCTCAATATATTTCTTCTAAAACAATGATTTTCCATGAAAAAGCCAACTTTCACAGCACGACTATTTTAAGAAAACTTATAAACAAAAATTTTTCTGAATAAAAATAAATTTTCTTTAAAAATATATTTACAAAAAACTGAACCACAAAAACAAACAAACAAAAAGTAGAAATGTAGGCAAAAGGAAGGGTCACCTCTTGTTTAGAGAGTTTCCAGTCATCGTTGAGATCCATTTCTTGGAATGATTCATGTGATCTTGGTCCATTTCGAATTTCTAAGAGATCAATGTTGAATATCAATGTACTCTCTGGGGGAATTTTACCTGTCATTAGGAAGAGGCGGGAAGATTTAATTTAAAATACACAAAGGTTTTAATAATAGAAAACTTATGGTACTGGTCAAAATATTTTTTAACTGAATAAAATGGAAAGCCAACCTAAGATTATCACATATAATGAAGACAACTTGTACTCTAGTTAGATTTCACTCAAATAGAATAGAGTAAGGAAGGAATAATCAAAACAAGTACAACAAAAGCATCCGATTTTTGGCTTGGCAATTAAAAGGAAAACACACACACATACACACACACACACACACACACACACACACACGAACCCAATAACCTGGATACTAAATTTAAAGCATAACTAAGATATTATGTATTATATGTCAAGAATGACTTAAAGGGTTTTAGAAAATTCAGAGTTAATTATATTACAAATGATTTACTAACTTTCAGGTTAAGAAAGTCCTGACATACAAATTCATACTATGGTCTATCATTTCTATCACTGGGAGACAGTTTAAAATTGARTGAGCTTGGGTGTCATACTGTCTGGAATTGAAGTTTTCATTAGCTCATCTCTAAGCCTCAGTTCTTATATTTTTAAAATACAGATGATAATATCATCTACATTAGGAGTCTGTTGGGAAGATGAAGAGAGAAAATCCCTACAATAAAATAAAAATATTCACCATTGTGCTTGATAAATAGTAAGTTCTCAATGTACATTACTGAGATATAATTTTCTAACAACCTTTACAAAGAATGCAGGAAGAATCATAATTTTCAAAAAGTTAGGAAACATCTCTTCTGATGTAGAACATCATACAAAAATTTCAGACATGTTGAAGAAATTAAAATGAACTTCTGAGAAGGTGATAACAGATCTTTAAATGTGAAAAGAGCTTTGTTAAAGTCCCAGGGTACTGAAAAGCAACATTAAACCCTTTTGGGAAGCAGGGACAATTGATGTTTGAAACTTATTTACTCTTAACTATATTTAATATAAAGGTTTGGGTCAACTTGTTACATGTTTCTTAGTTGTCCCCCCAACCCTTGTATTTCCATAAAAGAGCATTTGCAAGTTTTAAAGAGACAACACTTACACTGTTATCATTCCAGCTTACCTTTCCAGCTGGAAACAGAGAAGGGACATGCATTACTAGATCGGTGAGAAAACCGGTATCTTTCCAAGGAGGCATGCAAGCAAGTACTAAAAGACTAAAAATTAGTGTTAAATTCATGTTAGGGGAATTAGTTTCATGGCACTCAGTTTGAAGATGACTCAAATTTAGATTTCTACATGTTATAAAGTAAAATGAGTTAATACAGTATGGAGAAAGAGTAATAGACTAATTCAACATATATAAATTTTTAAGTTGAGACAATAAAGACACAGGATAGTGGGAAAAAAATACTTTCAAGTTTTAGAGAAATGTTTCCTAGATACTCAATTTTCTTCTCTGAAGAGGGCTATAATTAAAATAAGAACTGAGTTTGGCTAGTAAATCCTATCCTATGAGTACAACTTCTACTTTAGAATATGTTATGATTCATATAAAGCACCTAGTTTTCTTCTTAGGACACTGGGGATAGGAACCTTGATCCATACTTTGTTAAACCTAAGGACCTAAGAAATCTATATCATATTAGAGTGGTTCTCTATCTGGTTCTGAGATCTACTTAACTTTTTTTCTTCATTATACAGTTAATACTTGCTCATTGTAGAGAACTTGGAAGAGAGAATCAGAAGTAAATATAATTCCCAGTATCACAGTCCATTGTTAACATTCTTATTTATTTTCTTATAATTCTCTTTCTCTGTGTACACAGTTTTTCCTATATTTATTACCATAGTGTAWATACTATGAGTTTTCTACTTTTATATTATACATGTTGATCTAATTAAAAAAAAAATCTTGGAAAATGCTAGTTTTTAGGAACTGGGGTACATCTAATTTTGCTGAACTCTTATCATTACATACTTAGGCTGTTTCTAATTTTTTTGGTAGCAGTGATGGCTATCCCTCTTTACAAATCTTTTAATTTCTGATTATCCCCTCAGATCACATTCCAACAAGGGAATTATAGCACTAACGCACAAAAATATCTAAAGACAGCTTGGTACAAATCACCAAGTAGCCCTTTAGAAATTGTATGGATTGGGCTAGGGTGGTAGCTCAGTGGTAGAGCGCTTTCCTGGCATGTGTAAGGCACTGGGTTTGATTYTCAGCACCGCATATAAATAAATGAATAAAATAAAGGCCCATCRACATCTAAAAAATAAAAATTAAAAAAAGAAAGAAATTGCATGGGTTCCCACTTGAACACCAGGTATATGTATCTACCCTAGAACAAACTGRTAAGAAGGTTCTTTGGCCCAGTCAGCTGGCATGCTTCTGCTTTGTGACAGAGAATTAATTCAAGTTACACCATTATTTTTAAATAAAATACTGAAACTTTTATAAATGTATTTTTAAAATGAGATAAAAAAGAACCCCTAATAAGAGCTGTGCTGTGGGAGACTTGGTGGTTGTAAGCCACATACAGCCCACATGCCAAACCATAACTAGTATATTCATAACCTATATTTCAAATGTTAGACTCATCAAAACACTTACGTTGAGTGATATTTCTTTTTTCAATGTTAAACAAATTGGTGAGTTTTGGTTTGGGAGGGTGAAAAAGTTCAGGAGACACGTGGCAATGATATTTGCACAATGATGTRAATGCCATTGAACTCTGTACTTAAATATGGTTCAAATAATAAATGTATATTATACAAAATTTTAAAAATTACCATATTGGTGGTTTACTATTAGTATTAATAGAGTTCAAGGTTCCAGAACCTCATTTCATTGTTAGCTCAGTTTTCCATTTTGTTGTTATGGCCTTAATTGGCCATTTTAAGTGATTATCAAGAAATAATCATATTTCCTAAAGGAATGTAGATAGCCCTCAATTTTTTTTCTAGGAAAAAGAAAAAACACATAGTAGTTACTCTAACTTCTGCCTCTGAATTCAGAGAAGAGCTATAGTAAATAAAATCAAAATGTGATTACCTTTTCCTTCTTTTCCATATCCCAGGGCAGGAGGAATAATAAGCTTTCTCTTCTCTCCTACGCACATTCCCTTCAAGCCCTGGTCCCAGCCTTTGAGAGCCTCCAGGATGCCCAAGGTAAACCAAATGGGCTGACCATTGTTATGTTTATGACTACGAGAGAAAGAAAACATATTAGAATTTTTTCTCCCTAGTTCTGGGGACTGAACCCAGGACCTCATGCATACTAGGCAAGTGCTCTATACATTAGAACCAGTTAGGAACTTTAAAAAAAATATATGGTTCATTTAGTCCAACCAAGCATCAGAAATTAATAAAAACAGCTATTGTATTTTTTTTAACTTTATTTTATTTATTATGTGGTGCTGAGGATCAAACCCAGTGCCTCACATAGGCTAGACAAGCACTCTACCGCTGAGCCACAACCCCAACCCTAAAACAGTTATTCTTTTTTTGCCTACACACACCCCTGACTTCATAGTAATTCAAGCCATTACTTATCTTTCTTGACGAAAATTTGATAGAGTTGACTCAGCTGGAGAAGGGTGGAGGGAATAATAATAATGAACAACTGTTTGTACATTTACTGTGTACCAGGTTTTATTCTAAATTTGCCTCTTTTAACTCTAACAATGATCCTATAATTGGTAGGTACCTTTGGGGGACTGCTTCCAGAACCTATCCCTCTATTCCCAGCCTCCCCAATGCCAAAAGATGCTCAAGTGTGTAGTTTTTGCATATAACCTACTGTATATGTTAAATCATCTCTAGAGTACCTGTAATACCTAATACAAACATAGTGCTATGTAAATAGTTGTTATACTATATTGTTTAGGTAATAATGACAAGATAAAAACTCTGAACATGTTCAATACAGACATACTCTTTCTCAAATATTTTTGATCCATGATTGGGAATGCATGAACCTGTAGACAGGGCCAACTGTACCATATAATCCCYTTGTATAAAGGAGGAAATGGAGGTTAAGTGTGCTGTATTTGACCTTAAATATTCCTAACTCTGAAGATTAAGATCTTAGGCACAAAGTTATGCTGTCACAGGAAGACCATTTAGGTTGCAGACCAGGAAGAAAATAATGGAAAATAGTTGCAATGGGGAAGGAGGATGAGAGCCTAAGGAGATATACAGCCTGCTCATGGTTCTGATGGGTGGGAAAGTATGTTTTTCATYCCTGAATCCCCACTCACACAAAGCCTAATTTTTTCCTGAAAAGTCTATGTGGGGATTTKTAGGGGAGCCAGGAATAGAGGCTCTTCAAGCTCCAGAGAGAAAGGAAATAGTTAGGATATTCTGCTACATGAATTATCAGAGAGGCCAGCATAAGAAAATCAACCTGCTAAGCTCCTGGGGACCTCAAGGGCTGAGTAGGTCTCAGTCCCAAATAGCTCCCTTTTAGYAAATAAATAAACTGCTGTATTAAAAGATAATCTCATAGCTGAGAATAATAAATCATTCTATTAGGTTTGTGGGTACCATGCTTACAAAATCTTGGTAAATGATACTTTTTTCCTCTTTTCTTTTCTGATCAAAGAAACAAAATACCAACCTTAGAAAATCTGGTAAGGCCAGGAAAAGAATAAAGAAGAAGGAAACAATCTTTTATCCAACATTAACTACATTTGGGCACATTTCTTCATAAGGCTAAGCTATTTACCATATAGACAGTGATTCTAGAAACAGCACATATGCTTTATAGGTTAATCATTTCATAACAGAGTTAGCATCTTCTAATCATTTATGTGTAGCCTGCAAGACAACAATCCCCTCATCAGGTACTAGAACAGTAATAGTAAACTGCTAAATAATATCTCATGGCTACCACCAAAATCACTACCAGTTTTTGGTCCTACAACCTGAAAGAAATTAGCCTAGATGTAAAAAAAATTAGACTAGAAATAAGAATGTAACTTAAGGCTGCCTCCACCACCACAGGGACAAGATGTGAGCCATTAGGGTCCCCAGTGTGACCGAGCTGGTGAGAGAGGCCAGCAGCTGCTAGCACAGCACAGTGGGGAAGCATGGTGGCCACCAAGGATTTCTTATGACTAACCTCATATAGACATACTTTTAGAATCCAACAAGACATAGCAAAATCCAGTCCGAGTAGATGAGAAAGCCAGGAATAAAGAGAAAGTAAGACAGAAGCCAGGACCAAGGTGGCTCTAACCAAGAGAGCAGATCCAATTGAGCTTAGAACAATATTTTTGAAGACATGGATCCCTGTGAAGCAGCCTCAGCAGGAATAATACTCAAGCACACTAGATATCACACAAGCTCATTTTCTTGGTTTCTTATTTCTACTTACTTGGTGGTATTGGGCAGTGAATGAGTCTATAATAAAAGTCTCCTTCAGGTCAGCGCATTTACCTTATTGAACTGAAATTAAAATACTCCCAAAAGGAAAAGCCACTTTTGAAAAGGTAATAAAAGCAAAATATGTAGACTTTTCTAAATATTGTGAAAAGGCACCCATGCTGACTGGAATAGGGAGTTCAGGTGTCAAGTTGAGACCTTGATGTGTACTAATATGGGCTAGAAGGTTATTAATTCTGTTAGCCTCCCTTTTCTCATCAAAATGTGTTAGTATTAAAAAGAAAACTGAGGGCTGGAGACATAGCTCAGTGATAGAGCCCTTGTCTGACATGTGCAAGGGCCAGGATTTAATCCTCAGCACTGCAAAAAGAAAATGGAATAGCAAGAACAAAAAAGATGGAGACATAAGGGAATTCAAATACTGACAGGATATTTGATACTAAGGTATTGTCATTAATTGATTTTTAAGCTGAATACTGATATTCTGATTCTGAGAAATATACAGAGTCTATCAGAGATAGACACTGAAGTATTTACAGATGAGATCATGATGTCTGAGATTTATTTTTAAATAATCAAATTTTGATGGAGTGGGGAGAATGAGTGGGCAGTATGATAATTTTTGAAATTGGAAAGTGGAATATTGGGTTTAATATACTCTTCTCTGTACTTTGCATATGTTGAACATTTTCTAATAAAAAGTCACAAAACCTAGAAAAGGGTTTTTATGTAAGACTTTTATAACTTAAAATTTAAAATGCAATCTCACAATATCTATTTGGAACTTTTTATCTGAGGTAACAGGATTTATACAAGAGTGACATTCAATTTTCCCAAGCCCTACACAAGAGCGCATCTGAATGCCCAATAAAGGCAGGATATTGAAAAATGGGTCTAGGATGGGCCATGAAGCTTCATTGAATGTTTTGTAATCTCCTTCACTGAGTCATTTTTCTTCCTCTCCTTTGTATGTGGTGTACTACTGGAGGAAAAGAACCTGCTTCTAGTGATCTCTGCATCTCCAGGACCTGMCTTATGGCTATTCGATGACTTTGACAGATGGATAAATGAATAGATGGGTGAAGTCAAATTTTCAGCATATTCTTAATCTCCAGCAAAGGGCCTACCATGAAGGAAATGCTCACTTAACGCTTTTGGAATGAAATGAATGGAAACAATGCCTAATTGGAAATCATTACACTCCTAGACCTGTTCCATGTTGCAATTTCTTTGTTTATGGAACAGAAATGACAGTATAACCACCTGAAAATCTTTCTTGTAAGACTTTTATAATTACACCTGCTCCATCACTAAAATCTGATTTTCAGAAGCAAGACTACTGAAATCATGTTCTGTGCATTGACTAAAATGTTATCAATCAAAACAAAAGTTAAACAGGTCAACGAAATAGCATTAGTATGTTTTATAAACAGGCAAACAACTGTGTATTTGGCTCTTAAAGCTGCTATGAAAAGTTTTAAGCAAATATCACCTACACTAGATTAAAAATGGAATTGATTCATTTTCCCTAAGAAACCGATTTGAGACATGAAAATTCTTTTAAAACTAAATACACCCCTGGATATTTCTGCAAAATTCAGATAATAATTTTTATAGAAAGTTAACAGTTTTATCCAGACCACATGTTCCCAATAAGTCCTTCAAAGGCCTCATGATACAGAATTGGCTTTAGACAATTTTTTTTCCCCAAAGAAGGGAATTAGATATTTCAGTTTTTTGAAAAGTAGAACCAACTATATCCAACCTTTCCGGCAGGACAGCTGGCGTAGGTGGGTGGGTTCTTTATTAATTTACCTGCGAGGCATAATTACTTACGTGGAGTGAAATAAGGTGCCGTCCTTTTCTAAGTAACCCTCATAGTGCACCAACATCAAATCCCCTCCTTTCGTTTTGCGATGGCAGATGAACGGCTTCTGGAGAATTTCAATTTTCACTTCTGGCTCAGGGATCAGAGCCCCACTCAAAGAGGGGACTAACAGCGTCAAGACCACATTCCACAAAAATAACCTCATGTTGTTGGAGCTGGAAAGAAGTCCCTACGAAAACAGAGAAAGGGCCCCTGACTTCATAGAGTTAAAATTTAGCTGAAGAATTAGGGCCGAGGACCTCTGGCAAGTTGAGGACTCCCCCTTCTTCGGAGACGTGGCACTTCTACTACCAACAACTTTCCCACGCACAGCAAACTCTCCTTTAAAGAGTTAAACCCCAAGCAGGACCTGACTGGTTCTTATATTGTGGCCCCTTGGGAAGATCGGCCTTCCATTGGCTAGTGATGCTGTCCTTCAAGCGCCTCTCAAGCCAATGATAATGCAACTTTGTAATTTACAGTTTGGTTGAACCTTCCGGAGTGATCCTAGAACCTGGAGAATCAAAGAATTCCTTTATCCCGGACTTTGGGAGAGGGGTTCCGCGCCGCGGAGCTAACTCGAGGAGGTAATATTTACCTCTTTAAAGTACTCCTGCTGAGCGAGGTAGGAGGCGTCTGGGGCCAGGTGACACTATCGGGGTTTCTGGAAAGACTCATTTACTCTCGCCGTAGGAGAGCGGCCCCCCAAGATTCCAATAATCCAAGTTTACTGTGTAAATGTAGAGACTTACAAGGTCCTTGAGGCTTTATAAAGTGCATTCCCGGTGCGTGACTCTTACTGCGACCAGCAAGACAAGTTCTTTTTTCCTCACTTGGAGATAAATGTAGGCTAGGAAAGGTTATCGGTCCTGCTTAAAGTCACTAGATTGCAGAGCATTTGAGCTCCGCCTTCAAACTGGATCTAATTCTTTCCAAACACCGCGTAAAAGTTATGGTTGGTAATAATTTGTCACGTAAGTGCTCTTAGTGTAGATGGCAAATAATACATAAGGACATGCAGACTCAGGTTTTAAAGAAGAAATACTAAACATGGTTAGGAATCACACACCCTCCTCTTAGTTTAAATATTCCAGTTCTACATAATTCGATTGCTTTCAAACGCAATACATGTTCACTGTAGTCAATTTAGAAGAAACTGGAAAGTACCAAAGTAGGATTTTCAGATAAAGTACAGGAGACTAATATTTGAATTTCAGATAAATAACCAAAAATATTGTGTATTTTTATTTACTAAGTCTGGCAACTTCACGCTAAGGGAAAAGAATCTTCCACAATTAGTCACTGTAACTTTTTCGTGCATGCTTCTGTGACATTATAATTAAAGCAACTTGGATAATATTGTACACATTTTCTCCTTCCACTTGGTCTACTATTAACATTTTTCCTGATCAAATATTCTTAGAACCGTGCCTTTTCACACCTTTGTGTACTAAGAGTTCCCCCAGGGAGAGCTTGTTGAAATGCAGATTTTGTTTCAGAAGGTCTAGGTTTGGGGGCGAGATTATGCATTTCTAAGAAGTTCCCAGGTGGTGTCAAGCCAAAGGTACAAAGGACCACACTTGGGCACCTATTTATACTGGCCTCACACTCAGCATTTTGTCCTGAAATTCCCAAATTCTCCGCCCGGGAACGAGGTCACTTCGCCCTATTGTTGGACACCCCAAGTAGGTGGAATCAATCAGACAACCTTGAAGTTAAGAAGTGAACCCTTAGGGACTAGCCTAAGGAGAACTTCAAACATGGCAAGCTGTCCCCTATACATGCCCTGAAAGTCAACTTTGTCTCACCCTGGGTCTCAGGGACCTCCCTCCTCACCCATGCCTACTCGCTAGCCAGCACTCCGGGACTCAATTTCCCTGCGAGCTTCTCCCCTAACGTCAACCCGACGCCACCGCCGCGGCGAAATCCCGGAGTGGATTTTGGGAACTTGCGCGCGAGCGGAGCACTGGGCATGCGCAAGCGAGGCCCGGGACGGGCGGGTCGCGGGTTCAGGTGGAGCGCGGTGACCGCCGGCGACCGCGGCTGCACTCGCCACGCTTTGGAGGCTTCGGCCGCCGCTCGAGCCCTCCCGTCGCCTTGGCCCCCTGGTGGACTGCGTGCCGGCCCCACCACCTGGGCCCACCGGCCAGCCGCTACTTCTGGCGCCCAGGCCGCCGCAGTGACCCCGCCCCCGGGCCGAGGATGTGAGGCGGGCCGGGCGTCCCCTCGCCAGGCCCGGGCGCCAGCAGTGGGCGTCTGGGCCGTGCCGGGCGATGGCCCTGCTGCCGGTGCCCCTCGCCTTCAGGGCCCGGGGCCAGTGAGGCTGCCGGGGGGTGTGGGCGAGCGGCCCTGTCGCGGCGCCGGCGCCATGGAGGGCGTGCTGTATAAGTGGACCAACTATCTGAGCGGTGAGTGGCGGGTCCTTTGTCTGAGCGGCCGGGGGCGGTGTGGGGACTTGCCCGCGGGGTCGGAGTCGCCGCCCTTCCTGACACCGCCGAGGCTGGTTCGGACCCGGCGTGTCTCCTAGAGCGGTTCTCCTACGGGACCGTGGCACCCCCCCCCCCTTTGGTTCGGAGACGACTCTCCTGGGTTCATGATAGCTTCTCGGAAAGCTACAGAAAGCCGGGTTTTGAGGTGCATTGAAAGGCACGATGCCCCGGGGAAGAAGGCGCTGGCGCCGGTTCTGGGGTCCTTTGGGAGTCTCCCACATTGTAGCCAGGGAGCCGGAATCTCCTGGCTCCTAGCCAGATTTCAGTTGCCTGCCGGCAGTCACCTGGAATTCCAGGGGTGAAAGGTCTTTTATAAAAGTCTCTGGTGCAAGCCCTTTGGCTTTGGTCACTGTTGGAGTCACCTGCGAGGAGACCCAGGGTTACCCAGTTTCAGTTCAACAGTATACCTGAGGTTTTTATTTTCTCACTGAGCAGTCCCTTTGTTTTACAGATTCAGAAACTACCATAAAATAAATGCAAATATGAGCAGGTGTTTCCTTATAGTGCTGAGCAGAATGGCTTAAATAATAGTACCCCCTTTCCAGTTTCTGGAAGTACTTTATTCATGTCTTGAAAAGGTTGAAAAGTATTGTTCAGCTGTGGAAGATGATTGAAAATGAGCACTTTTATTATATGTGCAACAGTATTTAATTTAAAAAATTAAATATGCTGGAAACTATTAGGCCCTTCTTTGCAATTAAATGTTTTGTTTCAGAAAATGGTCAATTTTAATGGCGATAAGTTTGAAACCACAAATGTTCCCAGTATCTGATAAAGGAGGGGAGATTTTCCCACCTTTTCTTAGGATAATTGTTTAAAGGTATGTTGATGCACTGGGTGTTTTAAGGAAGATGAGTGTGTCTGAGAGGATCATATGGCAGGTAAACTTTGAGGAAGTCACAGTACAGACAAAAGTCCACCTGTTGGGTGTACCCAGAATCTCTTCCCTTTGCATCATATATAGTTAGTAATGAATTCTGTTTATTTTTCCTGATATCATTACTAGAGAGATTACTGGAGTGAGGAGAGGTGTTTTCTTTAGAAGACCTGGCCTCTGCTTCAAGGACCTCCATGCATGTCAGCATTTGGATTAGATGAAATGTGGTTAACTCAAAGCTGGACTTCAGTTTGGTGAACACCAGAAGCTGATTAGCACTGTGCTAATCTAAGAGGTGGAGACTTGACCAGGGAAATTTTCCTTTTGAACTCTCCCTAAGCTCTGAGATGTGTGGATCTTACGCCCTTAAATCAAATCTAGTTGCTGGTCCTTGACCCCTTTCCCTCACAAAAGTTTTTTTTTCTTTTTATATTTTTTTCTCTCACTCTCAACACTTCTTTCTTCAGACCTTCCTTCACCTCCCTCTCCTTTTAAAACCTCGTCTTTCTTCCTTTTTATTCTCCTCCTTTCTCTATAAAAAATTGAGTTACTTAGTACAATACCTATTTCCTAACAGTGAAATGCCTTTAAATCCCCCCCCCCCCATGGTCCTTGTGTATCCTTCATTAAAACACAATTTCTCTACAAGAATCTTTTGGAATCTTGTCACAACACGTGCATATCATCTGTTCTGTTGGAAAAGAGTCCATATTATCAGGTTTTAGGGTGGAAACTTTAAAGGGGCGCTGGAGCCATTGCCAGAGGTAGATGGGGGAGGTATACACTGGGCAAGTGCTCTATCACTGAGCTATATTCCCAGTCCTTTTTATTTTAGAGTCAGTGTTTTGCTAAGCTTTCCAGATTGGCCTCTGGTTTTCCAGCTCAATTTCTGGAGTAGCTGGTGTTATGGGCATCTGCTACTGAGCCCAGCTCACAGGCAGCTGTCTTTATATTATATTGCATATTCCTTTGACTTACATGCCATCTTCTTCTGCGCATGCTGTTCATAGAACTCCATCATGCCATTGGCTACTTTTCTGGATGTTTTATGGTTCAGCACATTCTCTTTCATTAGGAGATGAATTTGCTTTGAAAAAGATTGGTAATAGCCTAGAGGACCATATTGGATTCTTGTTTCCTCCACCCTCCTTTGCTAGTTGGTCTCCTAAAAAGAGCATGTATGTCAATAACAAACTTTGATGGTTATATCATTACTTTTTCTTCTTCTGAAGCTTATTTTTTAAATTACCCTTTTTTTCTTGTGACTTTGCACACAGTAACTTTAAACATATATGTATATATGTAATCCAAGTTCAAGATTATGTCCATTCTGAATTTTTTCTCCAAAAGGAGTTCATAACCTATTCCTTATTTAATATAGTTTGCATATTTGGAATGTGTATGTATATATATAACATATGTATATATAATTATTCCCTATTAAGATATCACGTGGATAGCTTAATATGGAATACTTTGTGTCAGATTGGAGTCGAGAAGTTAAATCAGTTTATCACTTGATACTTTAAATCCTCCTCCCCTTTTTTTGTGGTGTTGGGGATCGATTGAACCCAGGGCCTTTTGCATACTAGGCAAACTCCATACTGCTGAGCTATAACCCCAGAAACTTAATTTTATTCACCTCATATGGGTACTTTGCTGGATACTTTGCTAGGATCAAGGGAAGCTTCTCCCCTCCTTGAGCTTACATTCTGGTGGATAAGAAAGATATTTATTTATTGGATAAGTGATTGGAAGCATGTCTAAGTGGGTGTGATGGGGCTGGGGCAAGGAGGCTAGTCTAGGTTGTTGGGGAAGACTGCTTTGAGTAATCAGATCCTGAAAGACAAATCAGGCTTGCTAGATGGGTAGACCAAAGCAGAACTGCAGTTGGAGGCTATAAGGAAGAATTTTCTAGGTATAAAAAAATGCCAGTGTGGGCTGGGGATGTG